GAGATGGAGCCACCGTTCCATTGTGTGTATTAAAAGTGGTCCAATTACGATTACCGTGGTTTTGTTATTTTAACCACTTAATCAGTGGGTTTTATTTTAAATAGTTTCTTGCATTAATGTAGTTTTTTAAGTCGTCCTTGATTGTATTAATGTAGAATAAATTCAGACGTTTTTTTATTTTATGCGGTATTTTTCTGCTTAATGTAGTTTTAAGCAGAGCTTTGTAAAGTATTCAGAAGCCATGAGTTTTAACGACATTGTATAGACAAAGCGCCAAATAATCATTAGTCCTCGTTGTGGAGAATGTTAATAACGAAATTAACAAACTTAATGTTTACAGATCCCATCAGCTACATGGCCTTCTGGGATGCAGCGTCGATTCAAAACAAGACACATTCAGTGTCTGGCTTGCTTGCATCAATGCTGGCGAATTACCAGATGGTCAATCTAAAACTATAAAAAAAAAAATTCAAATTTGTATTTTACCAGGTATGGCCCACTGAGCCATAGATCTCTTTGTTAGAAGCGACCTGGCCATCACAAATGATAGCCGAATGAAGGTACTTATTGCGTGGAAATTTATAGCAGCCAAATTCTCTAAACGCACGTGGTAGATACTGCCAAATGTGGAGGGGGGAACTGGAGGACCCGGAGGAAAATCCACTCCGGGAGAGACACGCAAACTCCAAATATACAGCAGCAGGTGTCATGGTCGGGATCGAACCTACAACCTCCTGTATACCAGGCGAGGTAGTTAACATCTCATAGCCACCGTGGTATGTAGAACAGAGCCCTCTCTCTGTTCGATATGGCTCCTAGTTGCAAGAAAAACTCCAAAATAATCATGAGCGTCGTTTCGGAAAATATAATGGAATAACTCCTATTCCTATTATCGCCTCCGTTCCCATGACATCACCGCGTGCTCTGTGACTTTTAATATTTTTCGCTGTCTCTGACGTCACAGGACTGCTCTTTGTGACGTCACAGCACTCTTGTGCTCGTGGACTGCACATCGCAGGCGTAACGCGTTCTGAGCTCTGTGCAACATCATTGGAAATCTCATCCCCCCCCCCCCCGTCGTCAGCCAGATTGTGCCTAGCCACTCAAAATAATTATTATTTCGCATTATTTCACAATGGAGTCGTCACGCAGTAAAGGAGGGAAAACAAGTGGCGGAAAAACATGAAGAGGCTTTACCCCTTTCTAGCAATAAACCAGGAGGTGTTAAGGGGCCGCCCATAAATGACGTCACGCGATTTTGGACGATTTTTTACCCCCCCTCGTCACACGGCGTCACAAAAAGTCAGACCCCCCTCAAATATGACGTCACAAAGCTCTGCCCCCCCCCTCACCAAAAGCATATTTCCATTTTTAAAATAAAACATGCTTCAAATCGTATTCTTGGTTCTTTCGGTAAAGTCACCACGTAGAAGGGAAACAATACAATAATAAAAATCTAAAAGTAAAATTCTCACGACGTTTCGACTGCAACACCAGCAATCATCATCAGGTGTGAAAACCACAGCAATAAAATTTGAAAAAAGTGGCGGTTTTTTAACGTTAGCACCACGGAGAGTGATTTGGCAGTTTGTTCAGATAGACGAGTCCATCTATTTTGATTTAAAGCTTTCGTGACTACAGTAATTCATATTCTTAGTTTTTTCGGTAAAGTCACGTTGAAGAGAAACAACAAAATAATAAAATATATATAAAACAATAAAAAATATAAACACAAGATCCAGGTCCGTTTCAACACATTACATAAAATCCGTGATCTGGTTCCGTCTGTAAAAGATGTGATTCCGGACATACAATACCCTGGTGTCTACAAACTAAGTTGCCTCTGTGGTAGTAGTTACATTGGAGAAACCAAACGCCATGTCTCGGACCGCATTCGTTAACATAAAGCAGACCTTAAACACGGTAGGACCAACACCTCGGCCGTAGCAGATCATTGTTCTAATTCAGTAGGCTCACATGCCATTGACTTTTCCAAGACAGAGGTTCTTTGTAAGCCATCTGGCTTCCATGAGAGATTCGTTCATGAGGCTATCCACATATACAAGCACAGAGACAATTTCAACCGAGAAGATGGATTCTATCTTAGCAATCATTGGAAAGATTTGATAAACCATTTCAGTTCTTAATTGATTGTTCACGCTTACAGTGGCTTTCAGACAGCATACATTATAAAAAAAAAATTTCGTCTCCCCCCTCCTCTTTTCAGAATATAGATGGACTAGTCCTGGGTAAACTGCCAAATCGCTGCGCGTGGCGCTAACGTTTTTTTTTATAAATAAATAAATGCGCCGTTTAAAAATAAATTTATGCAAACCAACACACCTGAAGATGACCGTTTGAGTTATGGTCGAAACGTCGTGAGAATTTTTTTATTGTTTTATATATATTTTATTATTTTGTTGTTTCTCTTCAACGTGAGTTTACCGAAAAAACTAAGAATGAGTCCATCTATGTTCGGAAAAGAGGAGGGGGAGACGAAAATAATGGATGCGGTCTGAAAGCCACCGTGAGCGTGACCAATCAATTAAGACCCGAAATGGTTGATCAAATCCTTCCAATGATTGATAAGCCAGAATCCATCTTCTCGGTTGAAATTGTCTGTGTTTGTATATGTATATGTGGATAGCCTCATGAACGAATCTCTCATGGTAGCCAGATGGCTTGCAAAGAACCTGTCTTGGAGAAGTCAATGTCATGCGAGTCTACTGAATTATAAGTGATCTGCCACGGCCGAGGTGTTGGTCCTACCGTGTTTTAGGTCTGCTTTGTGTTCACGAATGCGGTCCGAAACATGTCGTTTGGTTTCTGCAATGTAACTACTACCACAGAGGCAACTTAGTTTGTAGACGCCAGGGTACTGTATGTCCGGAATCACATCTTTTACAGACGGAACCAGATCACGGATTTTATGTAATGTGATGAATCGGACCTGGATCTTGTATTTATTCAAGATTTTGGAGATCTTTTTTGTGATCCCCGCAATGTAGTGTAAAGTGATGGTTTTGAAAGGCTCCTCAAGAGGGTTCTTCTTCATGGTTGGAGTGATAGCTTTGCGGATTGTGTAGTTGGAGTAACCATTAGCCTTAAGAGCTTGGTGTACGTGTTTGTGTTCACTGGCTACAGTGACGGGGGAAAAAGTATTTGATCCCCTGCTGATTTTGTACTTATCTGAAACCGGATTCCCACCACCATCCATCCCAGAAGAATTCCCTCATCAAGACTCTGCACCATAGAGCCCAATGCATATCCGACCAGGAACACACAGCCAGTGAAGCACGTACACCAAGCTCTTAATTAAAGTTGCGCATCTAAGATGTTCAAACACCAAAGATACACCTATTGCAAGGCATCATCAAGGCTGCATGAAGCACACATACTTTGTGGCAAAATATGCAAGCGAACATGCTCCGATAATAATATCTGCATTGTCTGTGAAACCGCTTGGCCCGCACGAGAGACGGCCTTCTTCATGGCCTTGTCTCAAACGCCAAGAAGGCGAACAGCACAAAGTGGCGCGTATAAGCGAGATGCTTTTTTTCCTTCGTTACTGTTTTCATTTTATTCTATAACCCGGTAGTAACAGCAAAAAAAAACAAACACATTTTACCACACGGACACTTCCACGCCGTTCACCGCGCGACCCGAGGAATCATCGCGGGAAATGATCAAACGGAGGAAGGCACCGCAGCAAGATTGCACACACGTGGAAGGGAGAAATGTTAACATGACAAGACTCGATGTATACCGTGGCTCCAGAGCCTTCGGCAATGTCACCGAAATCCTAAGAATCCGTACGGGTGCCGTTTTTGCTGCCAGGGACGTTCGGCAAGAAACCAATCCCGAGTCTCGGGGAAATTTCTCCGAACGCAAACCTTAAGATGTTAAATTTCGATTTAAAGCTTTCGTGACTGCAAGGATTCATCTTCTTTGGTTCTTTCGGTAAAGTCACGTAGAATGAGAATAAAATAAAAAAATTTAATTCTCACAACGTTTCGGCCACAACACAAGTAGCCGTCCTCAGGTGAAGAAACACCAAGCGCTGTCTTCTGGACAGTTCTGTTTCTTCACCTGAGGACGGCTACTTGTGTTGTGGCCGAAACGTCGTGAGAATTTAATTGTTACATTTTATTTTATTCTCATTCTACGTGACTTTACGAAATAACCAAAGATGATCTTAAGATGTTCCCCGGCATGACACTTTGAGGTCTTTTTGGGGTTCTTCAGACGTCACCCCCCCCCCCCCCCCCCAAACATTCCTAAATTGTGGTAACGTGGCCTTCAAAAGCGTTAGAAAATGCCAAAAGGCACAACTGGGATGTGAGAGTGAAACACAGAACTTAAAGTAAAACAATACATTTGTTAAATCTTTTGTAAATCAGCAAAAAATCAGGAATCATGGGAAATGATGCTGCATGGCATTTCATGTACGCATGTAGATTGAACGCTGCTGCTACTGCTGTGAATGTGCAGCAGCAGCAGGACTACGATGATGATGCATGAATGCAGAACTTCTTTCGCACCGTACGTAGCCAATCGTGCTAATCGGAGGTGACTGTGAATTACAGAGAGGAAGAGACCTTTGGCACGATGACTGAACCTTGAAGCCCTTTCCTCCCAATAACGTGGTACTACTCTATTTTACCGACCCTGGACTTGAGATGATGATGATGATGGACTGCATCAATACCCAGCCCAGGAGACTGACCTGGCCCACTCTACAATGGCGAGCGGCGAGCTCTGACCGCAAGCCAATCACGGGGCTGCAAATAGCCGAGCGGCAAGCGCAAAGGCGTCGCTGCTACGGCATCGCGAAATATGAACAGGGCTCTTAATCGGCGCCGGACATGCAAAACGCGTGACCGCGATCGGATTGACCAAGAGCCGGTAGGTTCGGTTAACCATCGCGTCACTAAGTTTCACGATTACTTTTCACAAATAACAATGCGAAACGATTCGACGATTCGAATGGGGAAGTGATGGGAGTTAGCAGCTTGGGTGCTGAAGCAGTGAAGCATCGGCCGACATTCACGGATCGGAACCCCCTCACCCCAGCGGTCCACGCGGTCGACTGCCCGCCCCTGTCAAAGTCCAGGCTTAACACCGGTTGTCTCTCTGCCCGTGACCGACTGCCTCTCTCCCTGCCTCTCAAATTAGCCTCACCATCCGCGTGCAGCGTCTCCGCGATGCGGTCGCATGGTACCGGACACAGGGCACGGAGCGGCAGTCATTGCACGTCGCGTATATTTACCCCGAAGTTCAACGAATCGGCCCAACAAGCGAGTTCGTTTGAAGCGATCGTAAAAGTCATTCAAATGAAGCAGCTTGCGTGAAATTGCAAAATTCACGCAACTTCAAAAACAAAATCCCGTGTATTTAAGATGTTTTGTGTGGTTCCCTGCCCACCGCAAAAAGTCACCCCCCCCTCCTAACACTGCTCAAAGCAATGATAAATTTTAATCGTTCAACCTGCACCACGGAGGCCTCGGAATCCACCCTCCTGCTTTGCGCGACTGCTGAGCGCAATGTGAAAGGGTTTGACTTAGGCAGGCGAGACGCCCCCCCCCCACGATCCTGAGAACGGCGGAGACCCGAGGGCTTTGCCCCGACCCCCCCACCTCCACCTCCCCACCCCCCATCTCGGTCGCTCAATAGGCCATGAGTTTGCGGATTCCTTCGAAGCAGCGCCACTTGTCGGGGATGTAGAAGACCTCGTGGATGTGGGAGAAGGGCGTGTCGAAGCCACACACGCGGTGCACGGGCGCCTCCATGTTCAGGAAGCATTGCTCCTGCACACGCACGCACACGCGCGCAGAGACACGCACACGCACGCGCAGAGACACGCAATGACACACGCGCAGAGACACGCAATGACACACGCGCAGACGCGCGCACACACATACACACAAGCAGAGACACGCACGCGTGCAGAGACGTGCACACGCGCAGACACACACACATGCGCAGACAAGCGCACACACACACACGTTCACAAACGCAGACACGTACACACGTGCGCACGTGTACGCACGCACACACAAAGAAAAGACAAAGATCCCCCATATAGCATGAACAGACTGTTGGCGCAAGTGCCGGTAGCGAGTAGCACCTCTCATGGCCGGCACGTCCCATGAAGGGGAGGATAGCCAGCACCAAGCCCGACCGCCTTTGTCTCCCTTGCGGCGACGCTGACAACACCGCAGCAGGTACTCATTTAAGACTGAGTCGATCCAGGGGAGGCCCAGGTCTCGTTAAAATGATCGTCACCGGTGTTGGTGGCCGCGAGCGGGAATCGAACTCGGGTCGCCGGGTCCAACACCACGCCCGGCCGCCTTTGTCTCCCCAGTGGTGATGTTTACACACCGCACCAGGTACTGATTTAAGGCCGAGTCGACCTAGGTGGTGGCAAACACACGACTTACAGAATATTTATTTACAGCGGAGAAATCCGATGAGCTGCAAAGCTCTTTGTCACGGTCGTTCAGGCTCTGTGGTCACCCGTCGGAGGCCTAGAGTGACGTAGTGGTGAACCTCTCTTCCATGAGAGTGGAGAGGGGGTGGAGGAGGGAGGATGGGGGAGGGGAGGAGGTGGGGGTCGCCCCCACCTCCACCACCCCCCCTTCTCTTCGTGCTGGTGGGAGCCGCCTAACTCGATACGGCGCCAAATAATCCAAGAGCGGCACAGACGGGCATCAGCGATAATTGTGCTTCAACAAACAATAATAATGGCAAATTGCCTGATGGAGCCGGTTGCAATCACCCAGAGAAACGTCTCAGTGCTCAAATTGTAAATGGCGTCGGTCTACTCTCCAACACACCGGTGTGCTGAAGCGGTAACTAATTTGCCACGTTGTGTTTACGTGACCAACCTCAACTAACTGGTTGTGTCGGGTGGCGGTGGGTTAACGACGCGTTTACGTTTACGCGATCTAACCCCACCCAAAAAAAAACACCTCTATTGTTTACAAATTCCCCATAAACGGAATGCCCGAGTAACGGTCTCGCACGGCCTCGCATGCTGCCCGCGTCGTCCCCTGCTGGGCCCAAGGGGACCACGCGCCACTTCCTTGTCAGCTACCAACGGCGCTCATTCCCAGGCCTCGTCCGCCCCCTCCGCCAAGGACTCCCCCCCGCCCCACCCCTCCCTCCCAACGGAGACTTTCGCGTCTCTCGTCGATTGCTCGGCGGCCCGAGCGTTCGGCGGAGGGCACTGGAAGCGGGGGGCAGCCGACTCGTCGCTCGCCGGCCGCGTTGCTCTCACTCGGCGTTAATGCGCGCTCACGGTGACCGGCAGGCCGGGGCCACTCGGGTGGGTTCCGTCGTGCCCGTTGTCGGACACGCTGAGCCAGCAAAGATTGGGAACTTGGGTTGGAGCCCTGGGTCTGGGTGTCTCTCTCTCTCAGGGGGTTCATAATGGCCGTGTCAGACACGCGAAGCCAGGACAACTCAGGTCCTGGGTTTGAGCCCTGGGTGTCTCTCTCTCTCAGGGGGTTCATAATGGCCGTGTCAGACACGCGAAGCCAGGACAACTCAGGTCCTGGGTTTGAGCCCTGGGTGTCTCTCTCTCAGGGGGTTCATAATGGCCGTGTCAGACACGCGAAGCCAGGACAACTCAGGTCCTGGGTTTGAGCCCTGGGTGTCTCTCTCTCTCAGGGGGTTCATAATGGCCGTGTCAGACACACTGAGCCAGCACAGCTGAGGACCTAAGTTGGAGCCCTGGGTCTGGGTGTCTCTCTCTCAGGGGGTTAATAATGGCCGTGTCAGACGCACTGAGCCAGCACAGCTGAGGACCTAAGTTGGAGCCCTGGGTCTGGGTGTCTCTCTCTCTCAGGGGGTTCATAATGGCCGTGTCAGACACACTGAGCCAGCACAGCTGAGGACCTAAGTTGGAGCCCTAGGTCTGGGTGTCTCTCTCTCAGGGGGTTCATAATGGCCGTGTCAGACACACTGAGCCAGCACAGCTGAGGACCTAAGTTGGAGCCCTAGGTCTGGGTGTCTCTCTCTCAGGGGGTTCATAATGGCCGTGTCAGACACACTGAGCCAGCACAGCTGAGGACTAAGTTGGAGCCCTAGGTCTGGGTGTCTCTCTCTCGGGGGGTTCATAATGGCCGTGTCAGACGCACTGAGCCAGCACAGCTGAGGACCTAAGTTGGAGCCCTAGGTCTGGGTGTCTCTCTCTCAGGGGGGTTCATAATGGCCGTGTCAGACACACTGAGCCAGCACAGCTGAGGACCTAAGTTGGAGCCCTAGGTCTGGGTGTCTCTCTCTCAGGGGGTTCATAATGGCCGTGTCAGGCACACTGCGCTCCCAACAAGGGGACGACTCCTCCTCATCCTCACCTCGTCACAACGACGCGACCGCCACAGCAAGCGCTGGCTGTCGTACTGATCACTTGGGGACTCGTTGAGTATCTATACCACGTGAACAAACGTAACTTAAAGTTCAACTAACTGCGACAACATATAGGTTACTTTAGGGATTCGCGGGAGGGGGGGGACAAAGTTTTACATTTTCGAAAACGATTTTGTTTCTAACCCAGTTAAATTCCTGTTCAGTAAGATCCACCTTCTGCTCGATAAAGCAGGTTTTTAATTAACACTATAGCGTTAATTATTAATAAGTAAGCCAGCACACACACACACACACACCGATTCCATAGACAAAGATCCCCGTATAGCCTGAATAGACTGTAGGGGCAAGTGCTGTTAAGCGAGCACCTATGAAGGCCGGCACGGTCACACGAGGGGGTGGGTGTCCAACACCATGCCCGGCCGCCTTTGTCTCCCCAGTGGTGATGTTTACACACCGCACCAGGTACTGATTTAAGGCCGAGTCGACCTAGGGGTTGGCGAGGCCTAGGAATGGTTCGGATGTCAGCCGCCACTGCTGCCATCCGTAGGTAGGAATCGAATCCGTGTCGCCAGCCGTCGGCAGCGCGGTGTGCGAAGCGCTGAGCCACCATTCCCCCCGCACCACCGTTAGAACCGCACGCCAACTCAGCGCATCCGAGCTAAAATAAAACACCGAGGCAACCCTTTTAAAAATTAAAATAACACCGTTTCCGAACGAGGGTGATGTTAACGCGTGCGACTCAATCTCATTCACGATTAACTTATTAACGGCGGTTTGTGAGCTTACCCCCCCCCCCAGCCCCTCCCCACCACCCCTCTCATCTCACTCCACACACTCCGCTCCCATCCACGCACTCCCCTACCTATCCCCTCTCATCTCACTCCACACACTCCGCTCCCATCCACGCACTCCCCTACCTATCCCCTCTCATCTCACTCCACACACTCCGCTCCCATCCACGCACTCCCCTACCTATCCCCTCTCATCTCACTCCACACACTCCGCTCCCATCCACGCACTCCCCTACCTATCCCCTCTCATCTCACTCCACACACTCCGCTCCCATCCACGCACTCCCCTACCTATCCCCTCTCATCTCACTCCACACACTCCGCTCCCATCCACGCACTCCCCTACCTATCCCCTCTCATCTCACTCCACACACTCCGCTCCCATCCACGCACTCCCCTACCTATCCCCTCTCATCTCACTCCACACACTCCGCTCCCATCCACGCACTCCCCTACCTATCCCCTCTCATCTCACTCCACACACTCCGCTCCCATCCACGCACTCCCCTACCTATCCCCTCTCATCTCACTCCACACACTCCGCTCCCATCCACGCACTCCCCTACCTATCCCCTCTCATCTCACTCCACACACTCCGCTCCCATCCACGCACTCCCCTACCTATCCCCTCTCATCTCACTCCACACACTCCGCTCCCATCCACGCACTCCCCTACCTATCCCCTCTCATCTCACTCCACACACTCCGCTCCCATCCACGCACTCCCCTACCTATCCCCTCTCATCTCACTCCACACACTCCGCTCCCATCCACGCACTCCCCTACCTATCCCCTCTCATCTCACTCCACACACTCCGCTCCCATCCACGCACTCCCCTACCTATCCCCTCTCATCTCACTCCACACACTCCGCTCCCATCCACGCACTCCCCTACCTATCCCCTCTCATCTCACTCCACACACTCCGCTCCCATCCACGCACTCCCCTACCTATCCCCTCTCATCTCACTCCACACACTCCGCTCCCATCCACGCACTCCCCTACCTATCCCCTCTCATCTCACTCCACACACTCCGCTCCCATCCACGCACTCCCCTACCTATCCCCTCTCATCTCAGCAGCGGTCATCTCACAGGGAGAGACCGGTCCCCAACACGGGAACGTGGAATGTCCGGCACGAGCTCAAGAAGGTCCGGTGATGCGCCGTGCTCTGCGCGGTAGCTGCTGTCGATCGCGGTGCGGCTCTGCCACCTCGTGGCCGCACTGAGCCCTGCGGTTCGTGGCCACCACCGAGGTATACAGAACTTATTTCGCGTGCGTGCGTGTGTGTGGAATATGAACATGTATGCGTGTAGAAATTCATGAACCTGTATCTGGGACATCGGTGTATTAATACAGGTTTCGCTCGCTCTATGCGGGTCCGGTTTCCGGTCCCGTGCCGTCTATGGGTCTCTACGCAACTCTGTGGATCTCTACGCAGCTCTGTGGATCTCTACGCAGCTCTGTGCGTGTCTGTGATCTCCCAGTGACTGCCGCCACTGCGACGAAGCTCCTCATCTCAACGGGGGGGCCCCCGCTTTGCCAGCTGACGTAACGAAGCCCTAGAGCGCGTCCAGCGACGATGTCGCCGCTCGTCACCGCGGAGGGACGCGGGGATGGCGTGGGTGGGGGGAGGGGAGGAGCACGGGTGGCACCGCTCACCTGCACCGTGGTGGCGATCTCCGCCGCGAATCCGCTGGTGTATGGAGCCTCGTGCGCCACGAGCAGCCGGCCCGTCTTCACCACGGACTGCGGGGACACGCGGCGCGCCCTCACCACACTGTGCCGACATCGCTACCGCTCTCCCACTACCGTCAGGGCTGGCGAGCAGCATCTCTCAAATTCTCACCGCAGCCACCACCACCAACGCCACCACCACCGCCACTGACACCACCACCACTACCACCAACGCCACCACCACCACCAACACCACCACCACCAACGCCAAGGCTGCCACCCTCGCCACCACCGCCACGGCCAAGGCTGGGGGTCTGCCCCTTGATCGCGACGTTTCACACGTGTCAAATGCACGGCCCTGTTGTTCAATCCACTGGCGGCATCGGCACCTCCCGTGCCGAAGCCGCTCGTGCGGCTGGCTTGACCGTACTTCACCACGCCGCCCAATGCCTGGTCAAGTATGGCGCTTTCCCCCCCCGTCTCAGCGGGGTTCCCCTACCTCGCACACGGTCGCCATGTCCCAGGGCAGGATGGTCTGCAGGTCGATGAGTTCACACGACACGCCGAGCTTCTCCTGGGCCATGGCGGCCACCTCCCGCAGCACGTGCACCTGCACGACGCGCGGGTCACGCGCGGGTCACGCGCGGGTCACGCGCGGGTCACGCGCGGGTCACGCGCGGGTCACGCGCGGGGTCACGCGCGGGTCACGCGCGGTCACGGTCCGCGCGGGTCACGCGCGGGTCCACGCGCGGGTCACGCGCGGGTCACGCGCGGGTCACGCGCGGGTCACGCGCGGGTCACGCCGGGGTCACGCGCGGGTCACGCGCGGGTCACGCGCGGTCACGCGCGGGTCACGCGCGGGTCACGCGCGGGTCACGCGCGGGTCACGCGCGGGTCACGCTCGGTTCACGCGCGGGTCACGCGCGGGTCACGCGCGGGTCCACGCGCGGGTCACAGCGCGGGTCACGCGCGGGTCACGCGCGGGTCACGCGCGGGTCACGCGCGGGTCACGCGCGGGTCACGCGCGGGTCACGCGCGGGTCACGCGCGGGTCACGCGCGGGTCACGCGCGGGTCACGCGCGGGTCACGCGCGGGTCACGCGCGGGTCACGCGCGGGTCACGCGCGGGTCACGCGCGGGTCACGCGCGGGTCACGCGCGGGTCACGCGCGGGTCACGCGCGGGTCACGCGCGGGTCACGCGCGGGTCACGCGCGGGTCACGCGCGGGTCACGCGCGGGTCACGCGCGGGTCACGCGCGGGTCACGCGCGGGTCACGCGCGGGTCACGCGCGGGTCACGCGCGGGTCACGCGCGGGTCACGCGCGGGTCACGCGCGGGGTCACGCGCGGGTCACGCGCGGGTCACGCGCGGGTCACGCGCGGGTCACGCGCGGGTCACGCGCGGGTCACGCGCGGGTCACGCGCGGGTCACGCGCGGGTCACGCGCGGGTCACGCGCGGGTCACGCGCGGGTCACGCGCGGGTCACGCGCGGGTCACGCGCGGGTCCACGCGCGGGTCACGCGCGGGTCACGCGCGGGTCACGCGCGGGTCACGCGCGGGTCACGCGCGGGTCACGCGCGGGTCACGCGCGGGTCACGCGCGGGTCACGCGCGGGTCACGCGCGGGTCACGCGCGGGTCACGCGCGGGGTCACGCGCGGGTCACGCGCGGGTCACGCGCGGGTCACGCGCGGGTCACGCGCGGGTCACGCGCGGGTCACGCGCGGGTCACGCGCGGGTCACGCGCGGGTCACGCGCGGGTCACGCGCGGGTCACGCGCGGGTCACGCGCGGGGTCACGCGCGGGTCACGCGCGGGTCACGCGCGGGTCACGCGCGGGTCACGCGCGGGTCACGCGCGGGTCACGCGCGGGTCACGCGCGGGTCACGCGCGGGTCACGCGCGGGTCACGCGCGGGTCACGCGCGGGTCACGCGCGGGTCACGCGCGGGTCACGCGCGGGTCACGCGCGGGTCACGCGCGGGTCACGCGCGGGTCACGCGCGGGTCACGCGCGGGTCACGCGCGGGTCACGCGCGGGTCACGCGCGGGTCCACGCGCGGGTCACGCGCGGGTCACGCGCGGGTCACGCGCGGGTCACGCGCGGGTCACGCGCGGGTCACGCGCGGGTCACGCGCGGGTCACGCGCGGGTCACGCGCGGGTCACGCGCGGGTCACGCGCGGGTCACGCGCGGGTCACGCGCGGGTCACGCGCGGGTCACGCGCGGGGTCACGCGCGGGTCACGCGCGGGTCACGCGCGGGTCACGCGCGGGTCACGCGCGGGTCACGCGCGGGTCACGCGCGGGTCACGCGCGGGTCACGCGCGGGTCACGCGCGGGTCACGCGCGGGTCACGCGCGGGTCACGCGCGGGTCACGCGCGGGGTCACGCGCGGGTCACGCGCGGGGTCACGCGCGGGTCACGCGCGGGGTCACGCGCGGGTCACGCGCGGGTCACGCGCGGGTCACGCGCGGGTCACGCGCGGGTCACGCGCGGGTCACGCGCGGGTCACGCGCGGGTCACGCGCGGGTCACGCGCGGGTCACGCGCGGGGGTCACGCGCGGGTCACGCGCGGGTCACGCGCGGGTCACGCGCGGGTCACGCGCGGGTCACGCGCGGGTCACGCGCGGGTCACGCGCGGGTCACGCGCGGGTCACGCGCTGGGTCACGCGCGGGTCACGCGCGGGTCACGCGCGGTCAACGCGCGGGTCACGCCGCGGGTCACGCGCGGGTCACGCGCGGGTCACGCGCGGTCACGCGCGGTCACGCGCGGGTCACGCGCGGGTCACGCGCGGGGTCACGCGCGGGTCACGCGCGGGTCACGCGCGGGTCACGCGCGGGTCAAGCGCGCGCGGTCAGCGCGCGGGTCACGCGCGGGGTCAGCGCGCGGGTCACGCGCGGGGTCACGCGCGGGGTCACGCGCGGGTCCGCGCGGGTCACCTAGCGCGCGGGTCACGCGCGGGGTCACAGCGCGGCGTCCACGCGCGGGTCACCGCGGGTCACGCGCGGGTCACGCGCGGGTCACGCGCGGTCACGCGCGGGTCACGCGCGGGTCACGCGCGGGTCACGCGCGGGTCACGCGCGGGTCACGCGCGGGTCACGCGCGGGGTCACGCGCGGGTCACGCGCGGGTCACGCGCGGGTCACGCGCGGGTCACGCGCGGGTCACGCGCGGGTCACGCGCGGGTCACGCGCGGGTCACGCGCGGGTCACGCGCGGGTCACGCGCGGGTCACGCGCGGGTCACGCGCGGGTCACGCGCGGGTCACGCGCGCGGGTCACGCGCGCGGGTCACGCGCGCGTGGTCACGCGCGCGGGTCACGCGCGCGGGTCACGCGCGCGGGTCACGCGCGCGGGTCACGCGCGCGGGTCACGCGCGGGGTCACGCGCGGGTCACGCGCGGGTCACGCGCGGGTCCACGGGCCGCGCGGGTCACGCGCGCGGGTCACGCGCGGGTCACGCGCGGGGTCACGCGCGGGTCACGCGCGGGTCAACGCGCGGGTCACGCGCGGGTCACGCGCGGGTCACGCGCGGGGTCACGCGCGGGTCACGCGCGGGTCACGCGCGGGTCACGCGCGGGTCACGCGCGGGTCACGCGCGGGTCACGCGCGGGTCACGCGCGGGTCACGCGCGGGTCACGCGCGGGTCACGCGCGGGTCACGCGCGGGTCACGCGCGGGTCACGCGCGGGGCGCTGTGCTGCAGTGAAGTCGCGTCGTTCCGTGCGGGCGACGCGGCCGCACCTCCCGCGCGCCCCGCTCGCCCCCGCGCGCCCCGCTCGCCCCGCTCGCACCGCTCGCACCGCTCGCCCCGCTCGCACCGCTCGCCCCGCTCGCCCCCGCTCGCCCCGCTCGCCCCGCTCGCCCCGCTCGCCCCGCTCGCCCCGCTCGCACCGCTCGCCCCGCTCGCACCGCTCGCACCGCTCGCACCGCTCGCACCGCTCGCCCCGCTCGCACCGCTCGCCCCGCGCGCCCCGCTCGCACCGCGCGCCCCGCTCGCACCGCTCGCACCGCTCGCACCGCTCGCACCGCTCGCACCGCTCGCCCCGCGCGCCCCGCTCGCACCGCTCGCACCGCTCGCACCGCTCGCACCGCTCGCACCGCTCGCCCCGCGCGCCCCGCTCGCCCCGCGCGCCCCGCTCGCCCCGCGCGCCCCCGCGCGCCCCCGCTCGCACCGCTCGCACCGCTCGCACCGCTCGCACCGCTCGCACCGCGCGCCCCGCTCGCACCGCGCGCCCCGCTCGCACCGCTCGCACCGCTCGCACCGCTCGCACCGCTCGCACCGCTCGCCCCGCGCGCCCCGCTCGCCCCGCTCGCACCGCTCGCACCGCTCGCACCGCTCGCACCGCTCGCACCGCTCGCACCGCTCGCACCGCTCGCACCGCTCGCACCGCTCGCCCCGCGCGCCCCGCTCGCCCCGCTCGCACCGCTCGCACCGCTCGCACCGCTCGCACCGCTCGCACCGCTCGCACCGCTCGCACCGCTCGCACCGCTCGCACCGCTCGCACCGCTCGCACCGCTCGCACGGCTCGCACCGCTCGCACCGCTCGCACGGCTCGCACCGCTCGCACCGCTCGCACGGCTCGCACCGCTCGCACCGCTCGCACCGCTCGCACCGCTCGCACCGCTCGCACCGCTCGCACCGCTCGCACCGCTCGCACCGCTCGCACCGCTCACACGGCTCACACGGCTCACACCGCTCGCACCGCGCGCCCCGCTCACACCGCTCACACCGCTCACACCGCTCACACCGCTCACTCCGCTCACTCCGCTCGCACCGCGCGCCCCGCTCACACCGCTCACACCGCTCACACCGCTCACACCGCTCACACGGCTCACACGGCTCACACCACTCACACCGCTCACACGGCTCACACCGCTCACACGGCTCACACCGCTCACCTGCGTGCCCCACCCGAGCAGCGTGGCGTCGCTGCCCTCCTGCAGCACCTCGGCCTGGGACAGCGGCAGCTCGTAGGGCCCCACTGGCACCTGCTCCACTGCCCACGGCAACAACAACAACAACACCACCACCACCAAAGACAAAGACACAGATCCCCTGTATAGGCAACATCTTCCCGCCGGCGAATTGCTGCTGGGAGAAGGTGTACACAAGCGCCTGCAGGTCCCTGTTGGCATAGATGATGGTGGTGATGGAGCTGGTGATGGGGGGGGGGGGTGATGTTATTAATTCATTCATTCAGGAAAGCCTCATTGAGCCTCAAGACTCGTTCTCAGGAGGGTCCTGCATTGTGGCGTTTGACCAATTCCTTTCGGAAGTAATTTTTATGTATACAAAGACAAAGATCCCCCGTGTAGCCTTACCAGACTGTTGGGGCAAGTGCTGTTAGCGAGCACCTACGAAGGCCGGCAACGGCACACGAGGCGAGTGGGGTGGGTGGCGAGGACCACGCCTGGCCAATCTTTGCCTCTCTAGTGGCGATGTTAATGCACACCGCGCCTTTCCTTTAAAACTAATTTCTCAACAAGTGCCTTCTTGTATTTAGTTTGTTGTCCTTCACCCGCACCTCTGACGACACTCGCTCTACGTGGCTTACAAGTACGGGGAGGGGGGTGGGGTGGGGTGAGCCTCCCTGTCTCTCTTTTCTCACTCTCCCGGGCACCGGGCCACTCACCTGCGGCTCGGTACAGAACCTTCGGCTCAAAGAAGATGCAGGGGTTCTGGTCGTTGATGCAGGACAGCAGCAGCCCCTTGGCTTGAATGGGCCCCCTCGGAATAACCACCTGTAGAAGACAAAGACAAAGATTCCCCTGTGTAGCCTTACCAGACTTTTGGGCCAACTGCTGTTAGAGAGTAGCACCTATTGATGCAGGCAGGGCGCACGAGAGGGGGTCGTTGGCCAGTACCACACCCGGCCACCTTTGTCTTCCCAGTGCCGATGTTTTACACACCGCATCAGGTCCTCGTATGAGGCCGAGTCAACCTAGGGCAGGCCCATGACCGGTTTGGATAATCGTCACTGGTGTTGGCCGTGAGCGGGATTCGAACGGCTGCAAAACAAACAAGCACGCAGACATAGTCATATAACACACGTAGCTGGGTAGGTATGTAGGTCGCCGAGCATGTCGTCGGGTGTGTAGCCGAGTGCGGAGTTATCTGGGTATGTATCAAAGTGAACAGGTAGCCGAGGAATCCGAGAGCAGGATAGGCAGCTGACAGGGTGTGCATCCGAGAGGATAGCCTGGCGTGCAGGTGCGCGTGCAGCCGAGAGGGTAGCTGAGTGGGTGTGTCGCTGAGAGGGTAGCCGAGTGGGTAGGCGTGTGGGTGGGCATGTAGCCAAGTGGGCGTGCAGCCTAGTGGGCGTGTAGCCGAGAGGGTAGCCGAGTGCGTGTGTAGCTGACAGGGCAGCCGAGTTGGTGTGCCTCCGAGAGGATAGCCTGGCGTGCAGGTGGGCGTGCAGCCGAGAGGGTAGCTGAGTGGGTGTGTGGCTGAGAGCGTAGTCAGTGGGTAGGCATGCGGATGGGCATGTAGCCAAGTGGGCGTGCAGCCGAGCGGGCGTGCAGCCGAGAGGGTAGCCGTGCGGGTGTGTGGCTTAGAGCGTAGCCGAGTGGGTAGGCGTGCAGGTGGGCATGTAACCCAAATGGGTTGTGCAGCCGAGAGGGAGTGCAGCGGAGTGCACGTGTAGCCGAGTGGGTAGGCGTGCGGGTGGGCGTGCGGGCGACCTTGATGCCGGGCACGTGAGCGAAGAAGGCCTCGGGGCTCTGCGAGTGGTAGAGCGCGCCGTGACCCACGCAGCCCCAGGGCGCACGCACCGTGAGCCCCCCGCAGTTGAACATGTTCCCGGAGCGGTAGCGGTACTTGGCGGCCTCGTTCACGATCTTCGGCGGGGGGTGCGGGGAGGGCGGGGGGTAAATCAACCATCGCCGTCACCGTCGTCATCGCTCACATCCCTCTCAACACCGCCGTCATCCGTTGACATCATCGCCAATCGGAGGCAGGCGGATTGTTGCATCGCGTGACCGTGAGAGATGGCCCCAACTCCGGCAGGCACCCATCCAGCAGTGGATATTTAATGCACGGTGATGATGACGATGAAAACTATTTGGTTCATTTTACCGGGTAAGGCTCACTGAGCTACATAGGCTCTATTTCAGAAGCGACCTGACCACAAATGACAGCGAAGTGGCTTATGTAGAGCGGCCACCTCCTGCAGGTGGCCGCTATGAAGCGCACGTTGATTCGAGGGGAAAACCGGAGGACCTCGAGAAAAATCCACGCCGCGGCAGGGAGAGAGACACGCGAACCCCAAATATACAGCAGCAGCAGGCGTCAGAGTCGGCATCGAACCCACGGCCTCCTGCGTACCGGGCGAGCGAGATAACATCCCGCCACCTTGGAGGCCCCTCAAACTGCTGGTCCGCAGATTAATGTCGATAATACGCGTAACTTCTCTTATCCCCCCTGCTAACCCCCGGATAAATCGGAGGAATCAGTGTGGAGATCAACTCGGGGCAACGGCGGTCGCAATGATAGGAGAGCACATCTCAAGGGTCTCAAGCCTCTCACGCAGGAGGGTGCTGCGTCGACGCAATTGGCAAAACTCTCTCACCGTTTGAATCGGCGTTTCGCACGCGAGAGGAAACCGGAGCGTCCCTGAGAATGCCCGTGCATGGCCGGAGGTGGGTGGGTGGGTGGGTGGCGGAAAAACACTCAAAATGATTCCGCACGGATGGGTTTACGAATCCGCTCGCGGCACAGCCGCCTCCGGGTCTCCTTGCAGCGCAGCGGAGAGGGGCCTCGCAAAGTGCGACGATCGCCGTACGGTCCGCCATCCCCGCTACGAACAACCCCAGATCCAGTGGCGTCGCAACGACATTCATCAGCTCAAGGAGGTGCGGCAATCGGTCTGGTGTGGCCCCAAATATTTGATTTGTCTCGCACCGTCGCGACTAGATGCTATTATTATATATTGCGGCTCCTCTTGCCCAATCACCATCGTGACGCTCACGGTCTCGAACGTTTAACGCTGTCGGGCGCTCCGTCTTCACAAAATAAGTATTGTTGTTTTATTTTTTTGATTTAAAGCTTTCGTGACTGCAGTAATTCATATTATTAGTTCTTTCGGTAAAGTCACATATATTTGATTATTTTATTGTTTCCCTTCAACGTGACTTTACCGAAAGAACTAAGAATAAGTATTGTTGTTCTTTGACAATGTTGTTGGAAACAGATCTCAATGGGGGTTGTCAAGGGGCCCCCAAACTCGTAGCTTTGGCCACCAGGGGGTGCCAAGGCCCCCACGCTCGTTACGCTACTGGCCGGATCCCGTGCATGACCCCGCCACCACGACCAAGACCCCCCAACCCCCCGTGTAGCCTTAACAGACTGTTGGGGCAAGTGCTGTTAGCGAGCAGCGCCTATGAAGGCCGGCACGGCAAACGAGGGGCTGGGTGGCCGACACCACGCCCGGCCACCCACCGAAACAACAACCGCCATTCGCCACTAACACACACGCGCACACAAATGCTGCGAGAGCCGCGCCCACGCTCGCCTGGTCGAACGCCGGGAAGATGTAGTCGGCAAACTGGATTTCGGCGATGGCGGTAGCTCCAGTGACGGCCATGCCGATGGCGAAGCCCACGATGCCTTGCTCACACAGCGGCGTGTTGAACACGCGGTCCTTGCCTGCAAAGCGCCGCGAAGACTTCATACAAAATATGCACTCTTGTTTTGAAATAGCCTCAACGCATCGCTCAGTGACGCTGTGTTTGTGGCCTTGAAAGAAAAAAATCTTATAGAAGAGGCGACGTTTCGGGCAATGGCCTGACTTCGGAACATGTGATGTTTTTTCCATGTGTTATGAAGAAGGGCCAATTGGCCGAAACGTCGTCTATTTATATATTGTTTTCGTCATTTAAGGCCACACAGTGTTACTGAGGAACGTGTTGAGTTGTCCTGGATCCAAGCAACAGTCGGCTGGACCACGTCACGGTCGATTTCTGTCGCTCGGCTGGTGCTCTTGTTAGCTGTGCTTGTGCACCACTGCCAACGCAGGAGCGCCGAATATTTATTCCTGCATCGAAATAAATCCACCTGGAGGATCTCTTGAGCGGGAGCGTCTTAGTCGTCGTAAAGGGCGCCCTGAGCGTCCATTGTGAGACACGGGCACGCACACTGCGAGCACGTGATGACGCGTGTACGACTCCCAGAGTGGTGGGGCGGGATCAGGGTCCAGGGCGGGGTCGGGGTTGGGGGCGGGGACAGGGTTGGGGGTGGAGTCGAGGGTGGGGTTGGGGGTGGGGTCAAGGATGGGGTGGGGGTGGGGTCGAGGGTGGGGTCAGGGTTGGGGTCGAGGGTGGGGTCGGGTTGGGGGTGGAGTCGAGGGCGGGGTCGAAGGCGGGGTCAGGGTTGAGGTTGAAGGTGGGTTTGGGGTTAGGGGTGGGATCGAAGGCAGGGTCAGGGATAGGGCGGGGTCGATGGCGGGGTTAGCGGTGGGGTTGAGGGCGGGGTCAGGGTTGAGGGTGGGGTTGAGGGCAGGGTCAGGGTTGGGGGCGGAGTCGAGAGCGGAGTTGGGGGCGGGGCCAAACCCTCACCGTATTTGTCGAGAAGCCCGACTGTGCAGCGGAATACTCCTCCAAACGAGACGTCCTCTCCAAACACCACTAGGAGCACAGACAAAGACAAATATCCCCCACATCGCCTGAACAGACTCGTGGGGAAAGTGCTGTTGGCCAGTAGCACCTATGAAGGCCAACACGGCACACACCGCACCAGGTACTCAGTTAAGGCTGAGTCGATCCAGGGGGGCCTGGGACCAATTCAAGTAATCGCCACTGGTGTTAGCCGGCAAATGGTATGTAAGGGTTAACATAACTTCCAAAAGCCGCAGAAATAGGTTCACAAACCTACTTGCCGTAGTGGCATAGGCTGCGAGGGGGTGCGCCACCACCAAGCCCAGGGCTGCACAACCACACCTGGAAACCTACTTGCTGCACTGCACCGCTGCGGAGTGCTTACCGGCAGATGGGTCGTTGGCAAGAGAGTCATCGATGGCACTGTTTACGGATTGGAAGAGATTCATCTTCTGAGTTTCTCCTGCAAAACAAGAGAGGTAAATAAAGTGAGACACACAGGTGGCAAGGAATGCATGGTGCCATCACATCGTACGTGTTCCGTGCCAGCGTGTGGGTTCCGCAGTGGCGAGATGTTAACTCCCTCGCCTGGTACACGGGCGGTCGTGGCTTAGATCCTTACCCTGAAGCCTGCTGTATATTTGGAGTTTGCGCGTCTCTCTCCCCTCATGGTCGCGTGGATTTTTCTCTGGGTCCTCTGGTTTTTCCCTCCACATTTGTAAACGTGCGTTTAGAGTCTTGATTTGAAGCTTTCGTGACTGCAGGAATCCATACGTTTCCATCGCAACACAAGCGGTCGTCCTCAGGCGGAAAAAAATATAATCCAGCAGTGGAACTGCTGGACCAGTGCCACTGCTGGATTATATTTTTTCCGCCTGAGGAGGACCGCTTGTGTTGTGATCGAAACGTCGTGATTTATTTCATTTTATACCTACGTGACTTTAACGAAAGAACCAAAGAGTGTGCGTTTAGAGTATTTGGCTGCTATAAATGTCCACGTGATAAGCCACTTCCGTTGAGCTATAATTTGTTGTGATCAGGTCGCTTCTGAAAAAAGGGCTATGTAACTCAGTGGGTCTCACCTGGTAAAAGAAAAAAGAGATCGGTTTAGTTTTGTAGTTTATACATCAGCATGCCCTCTGCTCCGATCGAGCAGAGAGCATCTGGTAAAGGGAAAAACGTGCGGTCGTAGCTGCTGCCACTGTTTGCACAGCGAAGCGAGCCTTTGGCTGGCAGCGATGGAAACAATCATGGCACGCGGTCAATTTGTCCCGTCAAGGTCAGCAGCCCATCGTGAAATGTCGCAGAAAAATATAAATAACACGGGGGGCGGTTTCACATCGTTGGACGCACGGTTCGTACACATTAAAGACATGAGCAACCGTTAGCATGATCTCGAAGAGGATGTTTACTGGGGCAACCAATTAGCGCCGTGATGCAGATACAAATCATATGCTAATGTTTTACCCTTTCTGCCAATACAACAGAGACTATAATGCTCTGATACGTGCATCGCCTTTGTACTGTTCGCATTTTTGCGTTCTTGGTCTAACACTCGTTGAGACAAGGCCCGAAAGAAGGCGGTCTCTGGTGTGGACCAATCAGTTTCAAAGGCAATGCATCATATCCTACCAGAGTATGTGTTGTGTTTGCATGTTTACCACAAGTAAGTTTGGTTAATGCAGACATGATTCCTTGCAAAAGGTATCTGTTTAGTGTTTGAACATCTTCACACAGCTGTTTTATTGCCAGAAAGGGTAAAACCTATTCTTATAACTGGCTACAAATCCGTTTGTTCACCTTTTCTGATACTGGAGAAACGCTCACGAAATACCGTACTCAAAATTGACTTTAACACCGATGCTGGGACTGTGATGGGGCGAACGATTTAATGTATTTTTCCAAACCAGTGGCCTACTCCAGAAACGAGCCATATTTACTAAAACTATAATTACCTTAAAAATGACACCCACGTGTATTTTTTTAGGATGCATTTTCTTTAATTGTAGTTGACCGTGACGTTAACTCGCTTGTGCACGTGCCGACAGGGGGGGGGGGGGCAAATTTCACGAGCCACGCGCACGTGGACGGTCCATCCGTTCCTCCCAGCCAGCCAGCCAGCCAAACTTGTATTCGTATATACACAGCCCTGTCTCTCTCCACCTTCCCCTTGCCTTCTCTGTACCGTATAACTTATGTTGGTGTCTCGCTCTGTCCGTTTCTCTCTCCCCTCTCTCCGCTGCACCTCACCCGCTTCTCCTCGCCCTATCTCCCGAAAACGGTGCTCCTGAATGCAAGGCCCGCGGGCCACTGACGGCCCCTGGGTTGGCCTTTAGTGAGGCCCCTGACGCACCCCATGATCATGCGGCTGTCAAAAACCCACCAATGGTTTCAAATGCGTGGCGGGCCCTCACACTGACGATGCCCACCTGTCACAATCACTTATCAGTGCCCTAACTTATGAAAGACCAATTCAGACCTTGTAGGTCACCCCGTGCCCCTTATAAATCTCAACGTTCATCCTACAAAGGGAGAAACACAAACACAAATGGTTTTGCCCGTCTTTAAACGGCTGTATGCCGTACGCACCTGAAAACTCAATTCCCCTGTACAATAATAGAGTGTTGAAGCATATGGGTTGAAGGGTATGGATGATGTCTTATCGGCGAAAGTGTGGGCGGCCTACCCCCCCCCCATCTAAAAATGAGTGAAGAACATTGAGAGACAGTGCATGATGAAGCTAGTGCAGGGCCTGGAGCACATGTTATAAATAAAAACTAAAAATAAATATTAAAGCACGCATTTTTTTTTAACTTGCATAGCAAAGTAATTGTATTTATTAATTTGCTATACAGCCTGATGATACGACAAATCTCTCACCTTAAACACCCAATCGTTCATAAAAGTTGAAGGCAGTATAGTACTACAGTGATAGAGCAAGTGCAGAATCAATGAACCTGAATTGATAGCTTGAAAGCATTTAGCGGGGGGCCCTTGAAAGTGCGGGGCCCGTAGCATTTGTAGCTACTTTTGCTACTATCACAGCCACTGCTGTGATAGTGTCGCTTACATTATCAACCACGGTACCAGATTCCGATCCGTCTCATCGCCTATCAACACGAAGCGTTTTGACGCCGCGAAGGTAACGTGACGTCAAAACGCACCCGGCCACCCCCCGCATTTAAAAACATCGCCATGACGTCACAACGCACCTGTCAACCCGTGCCGCGCCGTGACGTCACGCCGCCGCGAACCTTTCGAGTCTAAGGAGAGTTGCTGGGTGCGTGGGGGGTGCGTGGGGGGGAGGGGGCGTGGGGGGGGGTGAGTGGGGGGGGGGTGCGTGAGTGGGGGGGGTTGAGTGGGGGGTGCGTTGGGGGTGCGTGGGGGGGGTGTGGGGGGGTGCGTGGGGGGGGGGGGTTGAGTGGGGGGGTGAGTGGGGGGGTGCGTGAGTGGGGGGGGTTGAGTGGGGGGGTGCGTGGGGGGTGCGTGGGGGGGGGGGTGTGGGGGGGTGCGTGGGGGGGGGGTGAGTGGGGGGGTGCGTGGGGGGGGTGCGTGGGAGGGGGTGCGTGGGGGGGGTGCGTGGGGGGTGCGTGGCGGGGGGGGCGTGGCGGGGGGGGTGCGTGGGGGGGGTGCGTGGGGGGGGTGGGGGGGTGCGTGGGGAGAGGTGCGTGGGGGGGGTGCGTGGGGCGGGGGGGTGCAGCAGCGACAGCGCCCGCCACGCGTCTGGCCACAGCGCATCAGCGAGACGCGCCACCGAGGGGCCCCGAACCCGCCGTGTGCTCACCGTACTGAGTCGGTGCAGGGTCCGCCACGAACGTGAAGTGAGCGGCGCCTCTGCGCGGCCCGCACGATGAGGTCGCGGCGGCGGCGGCGGCGGCCCCGCGGCGCGCAGCCCCGCAGAGCCTCGCCGATGAACGCAACGCGAGCGCCAAAGCCGCCATCGTTTTGCGACTCCCTCCCCCTCGTCGATTTTCTGAGTGACGCCCCCACCACCACCACCTCGTCGATTCCTTCGCGAACGCGACGGCGTTGCCACGCGAGCCAGTGGAGGGAGGGATCGATCCGCGATTACGAGGCTCGGCGCGCGTCGATTTCGCTGAATCGATTTGGTCTTCCGGTGTAGATGTGGGCGTGTTCTTTTTGATTGGTCGTTGTGCCACGCGTTCTAGAAGAGGCGCTCGCGCTCACCGATGGAATCTTTCTCTCGGAGGAATCCGATGAGCTGTGAAGCTCTTTTTGACACATATTGTCCACGAAGACTTTTTAATAAATGTTTTCTCCTACAACATCAGAGTGCAGCGCCACATTAAATACGCACTACAATGACAATAGTTTAAAGCGATTTGAAGCATTTTTTTTGGGGTGTAGGGGGGGGGTCAAAATCGTCCAAAATCGCGTCACATCATTTATGGACGGCCCCCAAAGCTAAATTATGTGTTACTTCGCAGTTAAAGCCGACTGAGCTATTAACTTGTTTTTCAGAAGCGACCTGGCCACATATGATAGCTCACAAAAGTAAGTGGCTTAAAATCTGGAAATGTACAGCAGCAAAATCTTGATTTATCCTGGAGGAATCTGATGAGCTGTAAAGATATTGTTTCACACATGCAACACCAGTTATATATATATATTTTACTTTAAACGTACGTTTTGTAGCTAGTGCAATAAATCAAACTCGTGGGTTAGACCGCCTGGTACTTTAACGGCCAAAAACAGGTCCCTGCAGGGTGGGCTGGTAGGAACATTGGAATTTTTCACTTCGTTAAAGTATTGAAAGGGGACGGACGGACGGACACATTAATCTATTGCAGGCTGGTACACTCAGTTCACAACTTCGTTCCTACCAGTATTAATGTCACCAAACCCCTCCACCACCCTACAAAGATGTAATTTATAAGCGCCGAGGTATTGATCAAATTCAGGCAAGGTAGGTGCTGTAATAGGGAGTAAGTAGCCTTGATACGTAGTAGATTGATTTTTATTCGGAAGCTACTGGAGCTATGCACTTTTAAATCTAAATTGAAAACTCATTCCTTTAAAACTGCGTTCTGTGTTTAGTTTGTTGCCCTTCCCCCGCAACTCCGATTCGCGCGGTTAGCTCCGTATGGTGCGAAATAAGTTCAACGTGCATACAGCCCATCAGCACTTCGGGGGTCGATAAAACGACTAAACACTTTGTGGGTTAGTCAACAATAATGCTTTAATGGATGTCAGCCTGATGAAGCTAGTTGTAATTACTGGTGAATCGTCGTACTCGGAATGTAATTGTTGTGGATTTGCTCTCCCAACACACCGGTGTGCTGTACTAGTGACGAATTGGTCACGTTCTCTTTACGCGACAAACCTTACTAGTTGGCTGTGTCGGGTGGTGGCGGGTTTAACGACACATTTATATATTTACGCGATCAAACCCCCCCCCCCCCAAAAAAAACCCTCTATTATGGATGATATTGCTCGCGAAAGCCTGCCACGTGTTAAACTCAATGTTTAAATATGACCCAATGGATATATTAGCCTCCCGCCGAAGGAATGTGCGATTTTTAACCTCTGCCTCAGGGCTATAAACGGGAGGCGGCCACTACCTTGAACGCTCATTTGGAGCATGACAAACAACAATCTTTGAACAGAATGCGTTGCGCGCACACAAATGTATCACTGCCAGAAGCGGTGGGTGGAGTCAACCGGGTTCTTGCGCAACTTGCACCACGCGGCCAACAAAACACGCCCCCAAACTACACCGGCGCCAGCCAATGGCAGGCGTCCTAGCGCCGAGCCCCCGTCACACCCCCCACCCACCCCCCTGCTCGCATTGTATTCCCCAGCGCGCACGGACACACGCGCATTTACATGTCATACATCGCATAGGCGGCGTCACGGAACGACAGCCGAATGTGGTCTCGCACGCAAATACAAAGAAAGGTGCCCCCGTGTAGCCTTTAACGAACCGTGAGCGAGCACCTATGAAGGCTGGTAGGGCGCAAGAGAAGGGATGGTGTGAATAGCAACCACGCCCGGACGCCTTTGTCTCCCCAAGTACTATTGTTTACACGCCGTGCCAGGTACTCATTTGAGACTGAGTCGACCTAGGGGGGTGGGGTGATGGGTCATCAGAGCCACTGATGTTGGCCGTGAGCGGGAACTGAACTCGGGCCCCCGGCTTCGTAGCGAAATGCGTTCGTTAACCACTGCGCCACCGCTCCCCGCCCCCAACACAGGGGGAGGTGGTGGGAGGGACAGGGGTAGGGCGTCTTACAAGACGAAGGCTTTGTACCGTATGTACTGCATGTAGAACTTCTTTCGCACCGTACGTAGGCAACCGTGCTCGTTGGAGGTTACTCGTTCCAGGTGCTAGTTGATTTTGCTTGCCGACCCATGACCATGGGAGTCTAGTTTGCCATGGGAGTCTAGTTTACCATGGGAGTCCAGTTTACCTTGGGAGTCCAGTTTACCATGGAAGTCCAGTTTACCATGGGAGTCCAGTTTACCATGGGAGTCCAGTTTACCATGGGAGTCCAGTTTACCATGGAAGTCCAGTTTACCTTGGGAGTCCAGTTTACCATGGGAGTCCGGTTTACCATGGGAGTCTTGTTTGCCATGGGAGTAGCGATAGCGATAGGGGTTGGGGTAGTGATAGGGGATGGGTTAGTGATAGGTGTTGGGGTAGCGATAGGGGTAGTGATAGGGGTTGGGGTAGTGATAGGGGATGGGGTAGTGATAGGTGTTGGGGTAGCGATAGGGGTAGTGATAGGGGTAGGGGTAGTGATAGGGGTTGGGGTTGTGATAGGGGTAGTGATAGGGGTTGGGGTAGTGATTGGGGTAGTGATAAGGGTGGGGGTAGTGATAGGGGTAGTGATAGGGGTAGTGATAGGGGTTGGGGTAGTGATAGGGGTAGTGATAGGGGTTGGGGTAGTGATAGGGGTTGGGATAGTGATAGGGGTAGTGATAGGGGTTGAGGTAGTGATAGGGGTAGTGATAGGGGTAGTGATAGGGGTTGGGGTAGTGATAGGGGTAGGGGTAGTGATAGGAGTTGGGGTAGTGATAGGGGTTGGGGTAGTGATAGGGGTAGTGATAGGGGTTGGGATAGTGATAGGGGTTGGGATAGTGATAGGGGTAGTGATAGGGGTTGGGGTAGTGATAGGGGTAGTGTTAGGGGTTGGGGTAGCGATAGGAGTTGGGTAGTGATAGGGGTTGGGGTAGTGATAGGGGTTGGGGTAGTGATAGGGGTTGGGGTAGTGATAGGGGTAGTGATAGGGGTTGGGATAGTGATAGGGGTTGGGGTTGTGATAGGGGTAGTGATAGGGATTGGGGTAGTGATAGGGGTTGGGGTAGTGATAGGGGTAGTGATAGGGGTTGGGATAGTGATAGGGGTTGGGATAGTGATAGGGGTTGGGATAGTGATAGGGGTTGGGGTAGTGATTGGGGTAGTGATAGAGGTTGGGGTAGTGATAGGGGTTGGGATAGTGATAGGGGTTGGGGTAGTGATAGGGGTAGTGATAGGGGTTGGGGTAGTGATAGGGGTAGTGATAGGGGTTGGGGTAGTGATTGGGGTAGTGATAAGGGTTGATGAAGTGATAGGGGTAGTGATAGGGGTAGTGATAGGGGTTGGGGTAGTGATAGGGGTAGTGATAGGGGTTGGGGTAGTGATAGGGGTTGGGATAGTGATAGGGGTAGTGATAGGGGTTGGGGTAGTGATAGGGGTAGTGATAGGGGTTGGGGTAGTGATAGGGGTAGTGATAGGGGTAGTGATAGGGGTTGGGGTACTGATAGGGGTAGTGATAGGGGTTGGGGTAGTGATAGGGGTAGTGATAGGGGTTGGGGTAGTGATAGGGGTTGGGGTAGTGATAGGGGTAGTGATAGGAGTTGGGGTAGTGATAGGGGTTGGGGTAGTGATAGGGGTAGTGATAGGGGTTGGGATAGTGATAGGGGTTGGGATAGTGATAGGGGTAGTGATAGGGGTAGTGATAGGTGTTGGGGTAGTGATAGGGGTAGGGGTAGTGTTAGGGGTTGGGGTAGCCATAGGGGTTGGGTAGTGATAGGGGTTGGGGTAGTGATGGGGGTTGGGGTAGTGATAGGGGTTGGGATAGTGATAGTTATAGGGGTTGGGGTTGTGATAGGGGTAGTGATAGGGGTAGTGATAGGGGTTGGGGTACTGATAGGGGTAGTGATAGGGGTTGGGGTAGTGATAGGGGTAGTGATAGGGGTTGGGGTAGTGATAGGGTTTGGGGTAGTGATAGGGGTAGGGGTAGTGATAGGAGTTGGGGTAGTGATAGGGGTTGGGGTAGTGATAGGGGTAGTGATAGGGGTTGGGATAGTGATAGGGGTTGGGATAGTGATAGGGGTAGTGATAGGGGTAGTGATAGGTGTTGGGGTAGTGATAGGGGTAGTGTTAAGGGTTGGGGTAGCCATAGGGGTTGGGTAGTGATAGGGGTTGGGGTAGTGATGGGGGTTGGGGTAGTGATAGGGGTTGGGATAGTGATAGGGGTTGGGGTAGTGATAAGGGTAGTGATAGGGGTTGGGATAGTGATAGGGGTTGGGATAGTGATAGGGGTAGGGGTAGTGATAGGGGTAGGGGTAGTGATAGGGGTTGGTGTAGTGATAGGGGTAGTGTTAGGGGTTGGGGTAGCGATAGGGGTTGGGTAGTGATAGGGGTTGGGGTAGTGATAGGGGTTGGGGTAGTGATAGGGGTAGTGATAGGGGTTGGGGTAGTGATAGGGGTTGGGTAGTGATAGGGGTAGGGGTAGTGATAGGGGTTGGGGTAGTGATAGGGGTTGGGATAGTGATAGGGGTTGGGATAGTGATAGGGGTTGGGGTAGTGATAGGGGTAGTGATAGGGGTTGGGGTAGTGATAGGGGTAGTGATAGGGGTAGGGGTAGTGATAGGGGTTGGCGTAGTGATAGGGGTAGTGATAGAGGTTGGGGTAGTGATAGGGGTTGGGATAGTGATAGGGGTTGGGGTAGTGATAGGGGTAGGGGTAGTGATAGGGGTAGGGGTAGTGATAGGGGTTGGGGTAGTGATAGGGGTTGGGGTAGTGATAGGG